TCCTTGCATTCTAACTTTTGTTGAGTGAGACCTGTAATTTCATAGTTGGTCAGAAACATACATTGTGGCATTTGCAAATGATGCTGGAACCATAAAAAGTGCAGAAGAGAGCTAGCAAGAGGAAGCTGTTTGAGGCCTAGTGAATGATGATTATGGTGGCAATCCACATGCTGAATTAATGACTTTTTTTTCTCCCTCAGTTTGAAGTAATTTACTTAGTAAATTCAGTTAGTTCTGAGTAACTCCTAATATCCCTGAATGCTTTGTTTGTATGTTAGAGCGAATGTTTTGGGCTGAGTAGAACTTTCAAGAACATGGCTACTGGGTCAGAGTGCTGCTTTTTTTTTTTTTTTTTTTTAATTTGGTTTGGTTTTTCTGTTTGGGTCCCCTCACCCCCTCAAGTTTTTGTTTTTGTTTTCTCAGTTGAATCAGTTACACTGTTTTCTTTTCATTGGGGCAGGTAACAGCACTCTGCCACACTGTGTTCTCTGGAGTTAGACTGTTGCAGCCAGTGCCAGAGGAAATACACTGTAAAAGCTCAGGTACACAGACTTTAACCCTGTTGGTTTTTCCTCTCATCTTAGCTTCTCATTCGTCTTTCTTCTCCATCTCCAGTGGTAGTCTCCGTTTGCTTTTACAACAGTATGAGTCTCTCAGTTTGGTTTTTTTTCATTTTATTAGTAGATGTCCTCATTTCCTCTTTTCTTCCATTCTTATTGGAATACAGGAGAAGAGAGAACTTGCTGAAACTGGAAAGGGATAGGTAGGACCTTTGAAAAATTCTGTCCAGTTAGCTGCACGTGGACTCTGGGTAAGCTTATGGACAGTTTGTGGATCTAATATCTGTATGTGTGAGGGCCGTTTATCAGCCTACCTCTGGAAAATGAATTTGGCCTGGAAATTACCAGATATATTCTGAAATTTAAAGGACAAATAAGTATGTTTAAAAAAAAAATTACCTTTTTTTAATGAATCACTTTCATTTCAAAGTTGGGTAGTCTTTCATCCATTTCTCTGGGTCACTGCCATGCAGGAATACTTGTTAATAACTGTACAGACTATAGGCTGTTATATCTCCTTAAATTAATTCTCTGGCTGCCTTTTTATATACAGCTTTTTAAATTTGGTGGTTATTTTGACTAAGTCTTGTTTTCTCAAAATGATTGAGTTTTTTTGTTTTTTTTTTCTGTTATTGATGTCTGAGCTAACCATGGGGGCAGTAGTTCTCTTTGCCTGTGTGACAGAACATAGTGCTTTGGAACTGGTTCTGTTAGAAGATGCACGTTTACTGAGGTGGCATAAGGGTCTCAATTTTGGTCTCATAAGCTAGACCTAATTTTCTTTTTAATTACAGAAAAGAGGAGTATTTTTCTTTTCAAAATACTTGGTATCTTTTGGAGGTAAAAAGACTTAAATTGATGGTGATTAATATCTTCTAGATTTTATTAAAACTTTTTTAATACTCTCTACTCAACAAAATCACAATCTGTCACAAAAAAACTTGAGTGTTAGCTGAGGAAGTAGATTGCTTCAGAGGAAAGAAGTAATCAGACATCTAATCCATTGCCTTTGTTTATAAATGACATTTAATCTTCATGATGATTTTGAAGATAAACTTCAAAGGACAAATTTTACTACTGATTGTTCCAAAGTATTTCATGAACTAACTAAAAATCAGTGTTTTAAATTGATTGTTTAAAGTGTACCATATGGTAAGGAGGATAGTCTGAGGATGTATAGTCAAAGTGCATAAGGCAGTACAAGGCACACACAGGTGTGTAGGAGAGAGACTTCTGTGCGTGGCAGACTCATGACTTCTCCACAAGATTAGTGCAAATCTCATTACAGCTGGTTTAAATGTAGAGCAAGGTAATAATTTTTGCCTGCCTCTCCCAAGCCCTTAAAGATGTGCAGGTGTTAAACATGATCAGTGCATTATTCTTTCTTTTTCTGATTTTTGGGAGTGCTAGGGTTGACAGACTTAATTTTTTTTGTTGCATCAGTGTCTGAGGTTCATAGGGCAAAATTTTCAGACCCAGTGTTTGGAATGAAATTATGCTTTGAGCCATTTATTTGATCACTGCCGCTCATTTTATTTAGTGACGTGTTCATGCTTTGCTGTCTTTTTTAACAAACATTTGCTACCTAGGTAAAAAGTAGTTAAAGTCCATTAATTAAAATAATCCACGGAGGTCAGAAAGTTAAGGCTTCTCTGATTTTTATTTTGATATTATTGGAGGAAACAGTTTTTATTGTAGAATGAATTGGAATTATATCTGATAAAATATTCATTGCTTTAAGTTGTCCTTGTTATGGGACCAGTGTAAGATTTTGTGTCCTTAGTGATTAATTTCCTTGATAATAAGAGGGTGTTTTAAATGGTATGTGACATGATGAATACTCTTGTCATTTAGCAATCTTAACTAGTATGTCAAAGCAATCCTCTAGTGGTTGGGTTTTTTTCCCCCCCTTTGGAATATCTTGTGTAAGTTTGGATCTTGTAAACATAGATATGAAAATTCTTTGACAGATTTTATTACCCATTTTAATCACAATACCCACAGGCAACCTGGCAAAATAAGATGATTCTTCAGAGAGTTAGCCCATCCCCCCAGTACAGCAAGCAGAAAGCTTTTTAACTTTAAAGTGACGTGTTACTATGAGGCTTAGGTGTGGGGGCTGGAAATCCATAGAATCATAGAACCACCATGGTTGTAAAGGACCTCCAGGGTCATCAAGTCCAACCTTCTTCCCAGCATTCCTTAAACCACTCGACCATAGCCTCAAGTGGCACATCCACTCATTTTTTGAACACCTCCAGGGATGATGACTCCACCACCTCCCTGGGCAGCCCGTTCCAGTGTGTAACCACTCTCTCAGTCAAGAAATTCTTCCTAATATCTAACTGAAATCTTCCCTGGCACAACTTGAGGCCATTTTCCCTCGTCTTATCATCAGTAATTTGGGAGAAGAGACCAACACCAGCCCTGCTACCACCTCCTTTTAGGTAGTTGTAGAGGGCAATAAGGTCTCCTTCTCAGTCTCCTCTTCTCTAGACTGAACAACCCCAGTTCCCTCAGCTGGTCTTCCTAAGCCATGTTTTCCATCCCTCTCACCAGCCTCGTTGCCCTTCTCTGGACCCGCTCCAGCACCTCCATGTCCTTCTTATCCTATGGTGCCCAAAACTGGACACAGGCCTCAAGGTGTGGTCTCACCAGTGCCGAGTCCAGGGGCACAATCACCTTCCTGCTCTTGCTGGTCACACCATTTCTGACACAGGCCAGGATGCCCTTGGCCTTCTTGGCCACCTGGACACACTGCTGGCTCATGTTCAGTTGGCTGTCCAGCAGCACTCCCAGGGCCTTGCCACCAGGCAGCTTTCTAGCCACTTCTTCCCAAGCATTTCCCAGGTTTTTTGTGACCCAAGTGCAGGACCTGGCACTCAGCCTTGTTGAACCTCATACAATTGCCCTCAGCCCCTTGTTCCAGCCTGTCCAGATCCCTCTGCAGAGCCTTCCTACCCTCAAGGAGATCCGCACTGCCACCTAACTTTGTGTCAGCTGCAAATTTACTGAGGGTGCATTCAATAAAGATATTAAACAAGACCAGTCCCAAAACCGAGCCCTGGGGGACACTGCTCATGACTGGATGCCAACTGGATTTAACTCCATTCACCACAACCCTCTATACATACTAAATGGGCAGATACTGATTTTTCAAGGTACATTTTTTAGGATTCTCTGTGAATGTGAGCATCTGCTTGCCCATGTCAAAATGCGGGTGTATTTTCTCAAGATAGCCATGACCCTTCTTAAATGTTTTGGTTTTAACCTTTGATTAATCAGTTTTTCATTTGGTAATATTTTTGTCCACTGACCATTTGTTTTCTTTTTGTTCACACGGATGACTAGTAATGTGTCTTTTGCTAGTATTGGGCAAGTAGCAATAAAATAGTGGGTACTACAAATGAGTATACTGACTCAAGAAGATTCCTTTCCTTAAGGGTTTAAAAATTACATTACACTCTTGGCTTTCCTGTGTTACTTTGTTCCCCCTGCCCCTGCTCCGATCTCCTTTCTGAAAATGAACATTTGTGTGTTTCACTCTAACATAAAGATTGGATAACTTTTTTTTTCTTGGCATGCTACTGCTATAATGAAGAACAGTATCTGGCTTCCTGTGAGGGCTAGAAATCATTCAATTTTAAAATATATAAGTGTATATGTGTGTTTATGTGTTCAGATTTGGATACTAACTAGTGATCCAAGTAGCCAAACCATTAGAAATTGTTTTTTTAGAATTTAAAGAACAAATAGAGGCAAAAATTTTTAAAAAAATGCTTTTGGCTGTGATTGTTCAGTAAAACAAGCCTGCTGCTGAGGTGTTGCTAGTTCTGTGGTGTTTTTTTTTTCATTTGTTTGTTTGGTTTTTTTTAATAATGCTTGTTTTTTCACTGTTGCTTTCAGGTAGGATGTGGTTTATGTGGTATATGCAGGAAGATCAACTGCTGACACTTCTTGACCTAAAGCTTGACTTGACATGTAGAAAGACTAAAATACCAAAAAATATGGCATTACTGTGACCTGAGAGCTAAGCATGCTTTGGGTGTCTTTGCATATTGCTCCTATAGAAAATTTCACGTAGGTTTTGCTCCTTCGTTTTATGTTTGCGGTATTTCCCTCCCTCCCGCAGTTCGTTTAACCACTTCCTCAGGAACTGATGTGTCTGTTTACACTGATTGGAAGAAGTTTTCCTTAGCTACCTGTCTGCTTTTCCACTACTGGATTAAGAATATAGGCAACTCAAAAACCATGCATTTGTTAACTTCCAGGTTTTCCAGCATGAATTTGTAATTGCTTCATCCAGATACTGAACTGTAAGGCAGTGCGGCTGGGCGTAACCGGGGAGGTGCAACTACATGCAGGTGGAGCTAACCACACTGTTCTCTAACAGTCTTCACTGATAGGGATATGTTGGGGACTTAATGACCTATTTATTCTATGAAAAACTGTTCACCAACCTGTGCTTTATATACTCATACTCTGCTGTTGTTTAGTATGTCTGAGTGGCATGGTTTTCCATTGTAGTAGAGTGGTTCACTGTAACCATCTGTGAAATGTCTTACATGAGACTGAGCAATGATTTAGTAAGAAAGAGGAGGAAACCACGTGTACCATTATGCATGAGCACAGGCATTAGTTGATTTTGTAAGTTCACTTGCTATCACAAAATGACTTGTTTTCTCACTAAATACTTAATCTTTCTGGTTTTTGCTGAAAGGTAATAGCAGAAGAAATAACTGTGTTTTTTGTTTTTTTGTTTTTTGTTTTTTTTTTTGTTTTTTTTTTTTTTTTGGTTTTTTTTTTTTTTTTTTTTTTCCCATAGCTGTACAGTGAGGGTAGCTTGCTTGCTTGTCTGTTCCTATCTTTATTTAAATGTTCTTCAGAGTCTGAATTCTCGTATGTTTGAATGTGATTTGAGTCAAACTAAAACTTGATACTTTTGAGATTTCATTTCATTGTGCATCTCTTTGTTATGAGGCTATGAAATGTTGAAAGAATGGTTAACATTTTTTTTTGTTAGTAACGCTTACCAGGAAACTTGCTTGCTTGTAGATTTGCTTGCTTTGATTTAAATGTAATTTAAATTTCATCCTTCCTTATCTTTTCCTCTAGTATGTGAATGTTAGCTGAATGTAAGAAAATATTTCAAATAGTAGAAGTAAAAACCATTTCCCATTCTGTCTGGTTTCATTTTGACTAGAATGCAGTTTTTCTAAAATAGGAAATAAAAATGTCTAACAAATGAAACTTATGTAAAATATAGTTAAAGAGAATATTTATTTTTCTAATATCAAACAGTTTGCTGCAATGAGGCTGAGGGTAGGACAGAGAAGAGCTTTATGTGAAATGAAGTTTGAAAACAAATAGGAATACTCTTTAGAACCTAAACGGTAAAACAGCTCATTTGTAAGATGTAGAACATGTCTTCCTAGTTTTCAAACCCTGTTACTATTAATTTTTCCTGCATTCTCTGTCTAAAGTGGGGCTTTAGATACTTGTGTAACCTTTACTTCCTTGTTCAGTCACTGGTTTTCATTACAGTTACTCATCTGGAAGTGAGGAGGCTTAGGATCCTAAAATGTAGAGCAGATACTTTTACCAGATGTCTATACAGTTTAAACACATGGTGCCCAACCCTGTCCCCCAAAAAAACCTAACCCAAAACCAAAAAAACTCTAGCAGTCTACAGCTATAGACATTTAACTCAGTATTTAAGTTCTGGAACATACTCCTAAATATAAAATTATGTTAGCATTCTGCTTGGACTTAGTGTGCTTCTGTGTATGTTAATACCTGCCCTGTCTTATGGTTTTATCAATATATTTAGTTGAGAAACTAATTTCAATACTTTTAATTTCTCCTGAAAGTGAATGGACAGATAATAATCCAGAGTAGATAATAAAGCTTGCAGATATAATTGAAGCAACTGCCTTTTTAAATACACAAAAAAAGTGAAATCAAAAACTGGGAACATGATCAGCTGTGTTAATACATGTATACTTAACTCTTAAGTAACTTGTGTTGCCTGTTACATGTTTTAACATGCTGCCTATAAAAATATTGACTTACCTTGGAGGATACCTGTATTTTTTTCAGCTTCTTTGATTCTGCTAATAAAGTGATTTTTTTTTTGTGCCAGCGAGTCTGATTCTGGATATATCCACACGTCCTTGGAGTCTTGACTGATGTTCTGTGATGAACAGCAGTCTTGTAATTTTTTTTCCCTCCAGAGCTGTTTACATTGTATGTGCTAGTTTATAACTGAGTTTGTGGGCCAGCAGGAAAGAGCGCATGTGGTTCTGTAATGCTTTGATTTGTACAACAGTTCATTGTCAATGGAAAATCCTTCATTCCAGTCTTAATTCTAGCAACTGAATGATTCATCTGCTGAACATAGAGTGCATGGGTATTGGTTGCTGCAGAGACTGCAGCCTAGGCAAAAGCTGTAAATGCTAGGCATGATGGAAGTCATGCTCTGTCTTGTTCTGTCTCGCTGTTACCCCGAATAACTACTTGCTCATGGGAAGTGCCACCGTTAACAGAAGGAATTGGCAGTCCTCCCTCAGCACATAGGAGCAGTCAGGAAGGAAGGTCTTCCAAGAGTAGGAGGTGTGTGCTTTAAACCTGGGATAGTCACATCTTGAATGAATGAGAAAGCTCCTCAGCGAATTTTTTGAGTCTTTGAAAAGACTTTTTGCCTGCGTCCAGAGGGAGTTCCAGAGCTGTAAATTCCAGTGGTGGGCAGAGCCTTTTTGCAGCCCCAGCATGTAAGCCTGGAGGGGGTCTGCATCCAATGCGTTTGTCTCGATATTTTGAACAGGCTAATAACTTCAGCAATCCCTTGCTTAGAATACTGGCTCTCATAGATGACTCTCAAATGCCTAAAACCTCTCATCTGCTGGCAAAGAGGCCAGTTTATATTGATCACATGCCTGGGCTACAACCAGATCTCTGGCGGACACTGTATCTTGCAGGTTTCTTAACTTGGCTGCCTTACAGAAACTGCTTCCTGTTTGTCTCCTCTTACTGCTTGTTTCTTATGCCAGTTTCTAAATTATGCAGTGTGTTATTTAAACCAAACTATTGGTGTCACAGGTTGTTTGTATACTTTTACACAGTTATGACTTTCTGACACTGGAAATCTGCAGCTTTTTTGTGTAAGGAATACAGTGTTTGCCAGGAGTGTTCCTGCTTTGCAAGACTGCACTTGGAGTCAGTTTTTAAGACAAAAAAAAAAGTCAAGATTCTAGTAAATATGTGAGTCATCACGAGGGTAAAATGGGGTGGGGCCACTGGGATGAGAGTGCCAAACTGATTAGCTGTATCTTGCTCTTTCAACTTGGCATAACTTGATGAACATTACAGGGCAATTTGGAAAGTGGAGCAGGAGGGATGTCTCTGAATGTTGCCATGTTTATATATGCGACTGTATGTAGTGGTGTTTGGTTATTTACTCTCTTGGAGCTAGATTGATACTTCATTTACAGATGGCTTTGTAGGCTCTGTAACAAATGAGTATTCAGATTTCAGTTACACAAATCATTCTGTAAAATATGGTATTTCTCCTTCCTATTATGTGATGAAAAATTATGTTTCTGTGCTTCTGAATATTTGATACTGATGTAAAATGGGAAATGAATTACTCTTCCAGACAATGTTGTGGCACGGCAGATTTGCTTTTGCTTTATTTTTGACATGTTAGTATCATATTTGCCTAACCACTTGAGGCTATTTTAAAAATGGAGCAAAATGAGGCAGTTGGTAACCATTGTAGTAGCCACTTCAGTTCAAGCTGAGAAAGCAGCCGCTGTTCCTTAGCCTGTATGCCACTAAATAAGGTGTGACAAACGTAATTAAGTTTTTATTTATTTTTTTTTTTAATGTGGTTAATGCAAGTCTCTGCTGAGCCAACTTCAAAAAAAAATACAGAATGCAATCTTCATCAGCCTTTAAAAAAATCAGTTGTGTAATCCTTTTGGAACAGACCAACTTTATTTCACAAATTTAATACTGGCTTCTGTGTTTAATTCTGTGTTTAATGTGGGAGTCACTTCCATGTTACTTGAGTTCTTTGTAGGAGGAGATGTTTGTGCAGAAGATAAACTGCACATTTCTAATCTGATGCAATTGGAGCAAAGTTAAAGCAAACAAATGAGCCATCTTTTCCTGTTCACTGACTGAATGATGGAAAGCTTTAGCAGACACTATTTTTTGGCTTTACACAGAGTTGCTGGACTTGTTTGCTGGCTTTGTGCAGAACACTTTAACATGGTGTGGACTCCACAGAACGAGCACTACTTCACTTGACAAGCAAGCAGTGCAAGTGTTTAAAATACCTGAATATGAAACTGTAATTGTCTGGTACATGATGGAAAGTAAGAGTAATAGTTTACATCGTAATGCTTTGACTTGCTGGCTGGGAACCGGTTCTGACCACTGATGATAACATAGTGAAAAAACAAATGCTATTGGGAAGTGGGAGATTTCTGCTGGGATTTTCATCTAGGAAGGCTTGTTTTGTGTTCCCACAAGGAAAGTGTAGGGTAGTAGTTTGTTCATGCAGCACTTAATCTGTGTTAAAGTGCATGAATGGTTTTGCTTCTGTTTCCTTCTGGTTAATTTTTTACCTTTCCATTTGTGTAATTCAAGAAAAATTCTATCAAGTTAGAACAGCGGTCCATTGAGCCTGTTTTTAAACGATGAGGGCTCTTTAAGGTCCCGTTTGTTAGGGCCAAATGTTTTTTTCCCAATCACATTTTGTCAAGTTAGACAAAATTCCGCTTTTCTAACCTGAAATGTAAGCTCTATGTGCTGTCCTCTGTCTATTGCCAGATTACTGTCACAGTTGTGGGAACTCATCAACTTTAGAAACAGGAAAATCTGGGTTTGGAAGACCAAAACCAGGAAACTGAGAGTGGTGAGAAGATGTGTTTCTTAAGTAAAGTAATAATTGCAGCAGTTGAAGCGAACAACTCTGGGGGCTTAAAGTAGTTACTTAAAATAATATTTCTGTGGAATGTGGTGTGCTTTTTTTTTTTTTAATTTTATTTTATTTTTGTGAATATAGTAAAAATCTTAGTTTTAAACATGTCTTGGATTTGGCCTGTGTATTGAAATGCAACAGCTAGATGTAATAATGAATACAAATGCAGAAAAGAATTCTTTAAGCAGTGTTAGCTAGTTTATTTTTCTGACAGGTTTAACTAAAAGAGGTAAAATCTAATGGTTGAAAAATATGTTAGCTTTTCTAAACAGCTAAATTAGTCGCTTCTCTCCTGATTAAAAATCGATCCCTTCCTTGCTTTTTCTTTTTAATTAGCATTTAATTTGATGAAGGAACTTCTTTTACTTTTGTTAGCTTGATTTTCTCTGATATTCTTTGATCTTAACAGTTTGACATGTACCTACCATGGTTTGTAGCTTGGTGAACCTATTTTTGGGCTTTATTAGGAGTCCTCAATTAGGCTGCTCTGGAGCAGCTTCAGTTTCCCCAGTTCCTTTTTCTAAGGTGTGACTCCAGACAGGGAGGGTTGTTCTTAAGCGTTTTCACCACAAATAACACCATAAATAATTTACACGTATGCTCGGGTTTAAACCTCTTCTCTTTTTCCCTTCTTTTCCCTGGCCTGACAAACCCTCATGTTTCTGTTGCCTTATTTTTTCCGCTGTGACTCTTCTGACTGCCTGCTCCAAGAAGCAGTTATTTTTAACATGTAGAAAAATTAGATGGCATCATACACTTTTGTATTTTGAAGTAATTTTTTTATTGTTGTTGTTTTCTGCCCTTGCAGAAGTGCACCTGGCATTTTGTTCTTCTTTTCTCATCATATTAGTTTGGTATTTGAAAGTGTAATGCTATTTCTGTAAATTCCGTGGTAGTGAATAGCTGTTAACAATTGTACTTCAGTTAAATCTAGGCACTGTACGTTGTAGCATCCCTCCTTCAGTGGCATGATCCAAGTTGTAATTCCTCTCAAAATTTGAGGGTTCAATATCGATTTAGTTGTAGTTCCAAAACCGCTGTTGTTTATGAAGATGCATATACCTACCTTGTCCTTGACTACTGGAAATTTTGTTCTGCTTGCTGCTTTTACTGTGTTCTGCCTACATGGGTTATTTACTGAGATTTTGTTTTCAATCTGAATTTACAAATTTTGCTACTGGGTTGAAATTAGGAGTTGGGATATCCAGTTTCTGTAACTCTACCCTGGGATGGTGTTTCATAATTTTCTTGTATGTGATGTTTTCTTCCTTTAAGCTCTAGCTCAAAAACATCCTTATTTATTTAATTTAGATTTTATGGATTTAGAAGGCTTGAAAAACTTAGGTAAAATCTTGTGATGTCTTGAATAGGTTGTGGAGCTCAGCACTGTTACATTTAAACTTTTCACCTTCTTGGGTGTGGCTGAAAGGGTATAATCTTTCTTGATAAAGTGTTTGCCAGCACTGCAGCACAGGAATACATGTTGCAGAAATGGTGTGTGTTACCACGCATTGCACAGTCATTTATTCTGTGCGTTCCTTATCAGACTGACAGGCTTTCTTGCAATATCTTCTTTAACATGGCTTCCTGTAGAACACCTTTTATGAAGAAATAAAGTCCAGTGGATTTTTTTCCTGCGTTCAGTGGACTGCCTTATTAAAAGCCAAAAGAAATGTTTTTAAACTTTACCACTGTTTTTGCTACTTGTGCTTCTGAAATTTCTGTATTGTATTTCAAAGTCGAGAAGACCTCATAGATCAATGAACTGGCTATTTTACATAACTCTGCTGGTAAGGTGGAGTCAGCAGAGCTATTGCTAGTGCTCAGGATGTGTTAAACAACCGTAATATCAGAGCCAGTTCATTCGATAACTTTTTTTTTTCCCTTTTAAATTTTTTATAGTGTGCCGGTCAAATAAAAGCCCGTGGGTCTGTTTGACATGCTCAAGTGTCCATTGTGGAAGGTGAGTTCAAAGCGTTATTGTGTAAATCTTTTAATTGGACCTTTATCTTTTTCCTTTGTTGCTTGTCTCGGAGGCCGTTGATTCAAAATTTTCCTGGATGCCTTATAATACCCTGAAATAAACTTTCATGACCTCATTTAACATTGTTTGTCTGTATTAAACACACTTTTTTGCTAACTTATGAGACTCCAGAGATTATACTCAACATAATTTTTTTTTTTTTTCCCAAATGAAAAGTTTACAGTGAATGTGATAGTGCAGCTCAAAAAATGTGCCCAAAGAACTGCTAATTCAGTGGGTTATTGTAGGGTTCCATTCTCTAAAAGGTGTTTCTACTGTAATAAGAGTAAGCCAATAAGAATTCTTGGAAACTTGCAAATCCATAGTTGGCACAGCTTATTTTGAGAAAAAACAGCAGCTATCCTGCTTAGATAGAAAATACCTTAAATGTACTGTAGTGTAGTTTTGGAACAAAGTTACTGCCATAACACATAAGGGCTTGCTACCATCAGAATTCTTTCAGAGTACGCCAGGGTTTTTGTCTGTATTAGTTACACTAAAATAAAATACACACTGTATTAGTACATTAAAAAGTTTTGTAGAGGAATGATACAGTCAATGCTGTTATTTATATGCCAGGATAATTGTAGAAAACTTGGTGCTACATATATGTTTGAGATGCACCGATTAATAAGAATGTGGTTAGTGCTGACATTGAGACAGTATCTGAGATGTGAACGTGTTTTCATCTGTAGGGCAGCATCTGTGGGGGTGTGATTTTATTCTGGAAAAGCATAATTAAGTTTAGCAACTGCATCTTTTAAAATGGATTCCATAAACTTCAGGTTTTGTTTCTTTGATCTAGGTAGCAGTAAGTGCCACAATTTTAATAATGTCTCTTATTCAGTTTTCAGCACAACCTCCTTTTTTTCCTCTTTATTAATTTATTTTATAAATTTATACTGGGTGGGAGGAGCTGCTTCATATTATGTGACGGTGTGAAGTAAATAATTTGGAATATGTTACATGTTAATAATTTTTTAAAAATACTATTACTGTCTACATAAGACCTTTCTGGTGTGCAGTTAGTAGACATTGAGTCAGTTACATATGCAATTTGTTATGACTTTTGAAACTTCTCCTATCCTTAGAACAGAAACTAATTGAATGTAATATAACTTGTAACAGGAGCACTTTTGATCATGGAAGCACACAACATATTCTCCTGTTCAAATAATGTTTGAAACCGAAGGAAGAAAAATAGAGCTTTTCAGATCTTTGCTTGAAGTAATTGGAAGCATTACTGACTGTGTTAAGAGCAGCAGAGCATTTCTGGCAGAGCTTTCTAAACCTGCCATTGGTGCTGTTAGGCAGAAAACCAGCTCCTGCATGCACAACTGCCTCACTTGGGTTGTGATATAATTGCTGTAGGGTTCTGCCAGCCCAGCAACATCGGTAGCTCTGTGGCTTTGGTGCCTTAACTGTTTTACAGCTGCACGTGAGAACGAGTGTGGAGTACAGAGACCTTCACGTGGATCATGTGCAGGGCTCCTGTCAGTTAGCGTTACTGACTTCAACAGGCAAAAAAAGGGGGAGGAAGGGATTTGCCTGAGGCCTGGCCATGCACTTCTAAGAGTTAATGGTTTTCAGTTGGTACTTAGGGATCCTACATTTGTAATGACACTCTTTTGAAGTAAAGATGCTGTATGTTCTATATCTCAAATTTTGAGCCTGAAAATGCTCATTATGTCAGCAAAAGAGCTGTAGGATTTTAGATTTCTTTTTCAGTTATGTGACCCCAAGCCCTAGAGCCATTCAAATTCCCTAGCTTTATAAAACACAGAAAACTCTAATATTGAATTGTGCTGCAGGATGGGAAAGCTCGAAGTAGATTTGCTTTCATATGGGGTCAGCACACTGTTAAAGTCATCACAAACATGATGAGGGCTGGGTGGAGAAGAAAGGGCTGTAAGAGGAGCAGTTGGGGAAGCAACATGGAGAAGTAACCACATCACAGGTATGGAAAAAGGGAGCTAATGGCTTTCTCAGTTTTGAAGCTGCATCAGTCTGTTAAAAGGGCCTGGATCCTGGGGCTTGGCACAAGGGTGCCAGTTTGTGGTTGCTATGAAGGAGGTAGATTAGTCTGGGCAACGTGGGAGAGTAAAGGGGTAAAAAGTTAGAAAATTTAACCGATGTTTTCACACAGGTGAACTGCCTGTTTTAATGCCTACATAAATATTGGATGCTTATTAGGCTGCCTTTATTTGTCGTATTTTCAGTCAGTGTTAGTTAAGTAACTGGAAGTGTATGACTTTTTGTTTTTCATTTGTTTTAGATATGTGAATGGCCATGCAAAAAAGCATTATGAAGACGCACAGATTCCTGTGACCAATCATAAGAAAACAGAAAAACAAGAGAAAGTTCAGCACACTGTGTGTATGGATTGCAGTAGTTACAGTACATACTGGTAAGGGTTTAAACACTCTCATCTGACAACATTGTACATACTAAGAGATGAAAACTTTAGACTCTCATGGAACATCACATTGCATATTTGTGAGCACTTCACCTGGCTTTTATGAAGCCGGAAGTCATTTGAAATGCGGGAGATTAGCTGCAACAGTGCTACAATACATGTGCAACAAGCAGAGAGTTATTTCATCTATAACTGAAAAGAACTACACTTGTGAGGAGCAGGTAGGCGCACGCTTAGGAAGCTGCCTGGTGTTTCACAGCATACTCGTGGTAACCTGGATGAGAAGCAGTTTAGCATGTGATGTCTTTTCTGCTGTAATCAAAGTAGAACCTGAGTTGTCTATGGATGCACTGTAACTAATTGTAGAGAGCTTTGCCTTGGGGAGTTTCTGTTGCGTATAATTCACTAGCAAATTATAACTCTCCTGTGCTAATGTAAAGCTGAACAGGTTTCAAAAGTAGTGTATCTTTGCTTTAATTTAGGATGTTTCATTTTTTTTTTACCCACCTGATAACTGGAAGAAGATACCTGGATGTGTTATTGCACTCAGCTTTTCCAGTGGAAATGAACTTCCTATGTAAAGCTGAAGCAGAAAATATTGAGACCAACTTCTGCCCCTGTACTTCAGAGAGCACTATGGGGGCTGCTATCAAATAGCGCGTGCCAGTTAAATAGCTGGGTGAACTTGACTCATAACTAGCTACTGTGGAGATTAACTTTTGAAATGGCATTTGTTAGCTTCTTTAGTGTAGACATGAACCTGGTAGACAGTGCTCTGTTTATACAATGATGTTTCTTTTAAGTGAACTTTTATGTAACGATTAATATTTTATGCTAGCACTGTGGGCAAGCTCAATAATTTGAAAGTCGACAAGATACCGTTCAAAAATTTAATTGGATTTTCCTTCTACTATAAAAATAAAGGAGATATTTTAATGCAGTGCTAGCTTTTATATTTTTATTTGCAGTTTTGTTGACTGCACAGAGTTGAGTAGAATACTCTTATACTATTTTTATCCTGTGGATTCAAGTCTACTGTGTTCTTCGGCTTGCATGTGAACAGGCCTGTATGGGCTCTTTTCTAAGCAAAAGACATTTAATCCTTTGCTTGTCTTTCGCCATGTCATAAACTTTCATGCAGTTGTGAGAGCACAGTCCAGTCTGTTGTCAGTCCAAGGGGAAGCAACACTGTGCAACTGCTGAAGCTACCATGGTTTATTGAATTTTGTTTCTAGTTCGCATGCAGTCTTGGTGTAAACCGGATCAAGCAGTCTCCTGTAATTGTATTTCAGCATGGAAGTCTAGGTGTGTACGTTCTCTTTTACATAATCACAAGCTTTCAACATAGCTTTGACAGGAAAATGTTTCAGTTCTGGTGAGACACTGGTTAACTTTTTGTTGTTGTTGTTTTTAGTGTATTTATGAATTTGGTAATGTTTCGAAAAATGCAAGCATGCTTCAGGTATCGTTAGGTATTGGGAAAATAGGGGTTTGCTTTCCAAAGTGTTCTGATCTTTCTTCTGTGTCCTCCTATTTGCCTGTTCAGTCTTTGCAGTGGGAAAGTTGAGAGGATGTTTATTTGTTACAACAGTACAATTCGCTTGATTCTTTGGCCACTTCTGAGACAGTAAATGCAATACTAAATCTTCAGACTGAATTACGTTTGAGACCCTAAGCACTGAGAAAAACAGACTCCTGAATTCCACTTCTTGGAGATAATCAGCCTTTCTGTTAGTTCTAAAGTACAGAACATTTCTTCTTTTCAAGCTATATGCTTTCTCCTGCTGTGTTAGTGGTTGGGTTTCTGTGCACAGTTAAATGATTTGTGTAAGAAGCCTGCATTCAGACATACGTTTCTTGAAAGAGGACTTTTGTAAAATTGTTTTCCCTGTGCCAGTGCACAGACACTTGGTTAGCACAGAAGAAGAAAGGCTGCCCTGTTTATGTTTTGCATAATATTTGTCCTGTGTTCGTTTAATCCCAGACATAGGTCAGATTTGTGACCTGTTAGCCAACTTATCTAGCAAAGCAACATGGTTGTGCTAACGTCCTCGGGCCCCACCCTGCTGGCTGATGCCAAAATAACCAAGTACCAAGGACTTAACAGAATTCTTTTTTTTGTGATGGTGGCTCTATTTAAAAAACGGAGCATCCCAATATGAGGTTGCTTAGGACTCTTACTGTGCATTCTACAGTCAGTGGAAATTACAGAAGGTAAAAAGCCTTATATCAACAGAGTAAAACTTGAGGTCTTAGTTCACTCATCCAAGGTGTTAGCACAACTAAGGAAACTAGGATCTTCTTCATTTTTTATTTATTTTTTTCCTATAATTCTTCAAATCCAGTCAGGGCTTTTAAACACCGCATGAAGTTCTCTAAGCCATTGAAGCAGCCAACACTAAGCATAAGTGCTCCCCAGAGCATTGCATACGTTCACTGTCTTACTGCCATTTTAGCAGCAAAGGCGGCCAGAAAAGACCAGGCCTTAGAGGTGGCAGAGGTGCTAAAAACAGGAGGTGTCTAGAGAGGAAAATACCATGCTAATCCATATGAGAGACCCTCCCTGAAATATAGAATTTGTTCTGTACAATTGCTGTTAAAAGCATAGTGTAGAAGTGCTGTATGGAAGAAGGTGTATTGTTAATTTGTGACAATACCAAGGAGGATCACAAATTAAGCGTGTTTTGAACGTCGGCTTCACATACAGGAATTAATCTCTCGGCAGTTTACATTCAAGGTGTGTGGGCTTAGCAAATTTCAAGCTATTAAAGCATAAACTATGTCCTGTGCTGTTTACTTTGTTTATTGAAAATAGATTGGTAGTGGTGCTGTTGTTTCTAGCAGTAGTGCTGAATCCTTAATGTTGCAAAGGAGGTGGTTTAAAAAACCTGCCCATTAAAAAGAGAAATAGAAGAAGCTTGTCTTATTTTCTGGTGAATCTAAGATTACTTTTCCACTGTTGCAAGGATCCTGACATTTAGTGATAGTTTTGGTTATGTTCCTCCATCATGGGTAAAGTGTTAACTTGCAATTTTATGTAAAGATGTAACTGCTGTATGAGATCAGACTAAAAATAAGGTTAACATGATCTTTAGGGTATGGGGGCAAGTATTAAATCATCTTTCAGCAGTAAGTTGGCTTAGAGGGTTTCAGTGAGCTTGCATCTGCTTTCATTCCTCATTTATAGATGTGAGTAGCTACACAACTAGAGTAGCAAGGTAGTTGTGCTCATATAGCTGGGGGTGTGGATGTGCTTGGTATTAAGGAGACATCGGATTGTACTGTTACACCTGCACAGTATTTACCTCTTAGCAAAGCTGGCCTGGGTAATTTGCTCTGGTGGTTGTCCTTGAGGTGTGGTGTCCTGTGAGAGTGGAAAATGCAGGAACACTTTAGATGTGTGTAGGTGGCTGATAAAGCTGAATAGGACTACTTAAAACATGGCTGAAAAGTAAGCATGTTTACAAGCTTCTTCCCCCATCCAAACTAACTAGATCTGTGTCAATCTTTAAAAAAAAAAAAACAAACCAAAAAAAAACCCCAAAACCAAACCAAACAAACCCAAAACAAAACCAACAACAACAGAAAAATTCTACCAGCAATAGCTGTCTTAATAATTTCTAGATCTTGCATAAGTATCCATAACCATTGCATTTCAGTGTCTGGAAATTTTGAGGGCCATTAATTTCTCTTCTCAGAGACAAAACCCAACAGAGACCCTGGACACACTGGTCTTACAGACTCCTTTCTGTGGCAAGGGCCTTTAGTTTCTCAACTCTGTAGTCTCTTCAGTGTTAATTAATGTTAACATTAATTAACAGTGTTAAGGGTCAATGTTTGTATTAACACTAGCAGTACTGTTGCCTTTGAACTATATTGCAGATTTATGCAACAAAGAATGTTTTAAATTCCAGTTGTGCCTGATGTTGATAGCTTAATTTACTTAGGAAGCACAGATCTGCTTCAGCAGAGGAGTAACCTGGCGTAAAGATGTCATATTTCATATTTGACTGAGTCCTTTGCCAAAGGGCGACGGAAGAAATGGCTACAGTGTTCTGATGTAAAACATATTCAAAGTTAGTTAGCTTTCTTCACAGGAAGAGTTCAGTCGCCTGCCAGAATTTAAGCTGCAATTTGATGCTCCACAGTAAGCACGGGGCTGACGAACACGCTCAGAGCTGAGCTACCTTTGTGGGACGTGGGGCAGGGGAGGCAAGTTTGCTCCCTTTTTGTTGCAGTGCTCTTGGAAGAGCAGATGGAAGCAGTGTTAAGTCTTTTCTTACCTTCCTGTTTCCCATGCCAGAATACAAGTTGTCTTGTTCTTGAGCTGGATCTTGGCTTACCCTGCAGGAGAGCTGTGAAATGTGGTCTGCAGCTCCTGTGCACAGCAGTAAGGCTGCCGCTCTGCTGAGCGCCTCCTTTGAGAGAGACTGGAGGAGGCTGCACAGAATTCTTGAGCAGGTGGGGATTCTGCAGGACTGTGCTTCCTTACTGACTGCAGCATCTCCATTTCTTGGTTTTAAAGTATTTTCCCCTTCCCTGCCCTTCCCTGCCCTTCCCTGCCCTTCCCTGCCCTTCCCTGCCCTTCCCTGCCCTTCCCTGCACTTCCCTGCCCTGCCCCTGAATGTAGGCATCATCTTTCCTTGAAAATGGAGTAAAAAGCATGGATTACAGGGTCTATATCACTCTGAGACCTTCTGAGGGCAAGAAACGCACAAGGTTGAAAATACAGCAAAGCACCAGAAGTTAATGCCATGTTGCAACAATGTTCTTTGGACAGTTTTCTTTGCTGCTTCCTCCTTTTATTTCTCCAAATGGACGTGTGCGTTGTGGATTTACATGTACTTGGGAAAACAGTGAAATAAGGTGTGGGTTTTTTTTTTTCAGCATTCCCAAAGTGGCCCTCCTCTCCCCCTTTAGAAATCTTTATTCTGTAACCTTTGCATTTGTCCGCTATACAAGGCATTATGAGCCACAGAAGAAAAAACATAGTTAGATAGTGCCTGTACCTTCTCTTGCTATAGGGTAATTGTCAGAGGGAACCGAGCTCAGTATGTAGGCACCATGCTTCACTGTTGCCCTTATAGTCTTCAACAGAATCACTTCAGTGCTCCCCACACATAGGCTTGCATGAGTGCTTTCCTGAAATCCTTTGCACATTCTGATGAAGGTTTTTCTTGCAGTTATCGCTGTGATGATTTTGTGGTCAATGATACCAAGCTGGGCCTGGTACAGAAGGTCAGAGAGCACCTACAGAACTTGGAAAAGTAAGTAGTTTGTTTACTTCCAGGCTGCTTTGGGTGGACTTTTAATACTGCATCACTTCAGTGGTATTTCTGATTTATATGTATATACAGATTTTCTATATGTAGTTCAGTCCTTCTGTGTGTGTGATACTGTGTACGTTTAGATATCTTTTTTTATCACCAAGCAGCAGAGGTGGAGAAATGGATGGATTTAGGTGTTCTCATATGGTTTGCTTCTTATACAGTGAACCTTGTAGGAGTGGCGCATGGTGATTTTGATACTCATGAGCTTACTACCTAGCCATTAATTACTTTATTTTTCCATATACAGAGGAGAGAATTTTCACAACAGAATCATAATTTTGTCAAAACCAGAATAACAGAGAAACTGAGTCTTCGTGTTAATTGCATAGTTTGGTTTCCAGACAAAACCATTCAGAAGGCTTATGAACTTGGAATTGTACAAGAGAGACATGTTTTTCTGGTGCTGTTCTGCAAAGCAGATATTACAGTCTTTGTGATGCAGATGCTGTGGCCAGTGCTAGATAGCAAATAGTCTTTACAGTTTGTTTGGAAATACATAATCATATAATACTTGGCAGAAGGATATGTGCATACCAAATGTGTTTGAATGCCCCAGAGTTCAAACAGGGACTCCTGCTAAGAAGGGTGTGATTTTATCTCTTAGATTTTATATATAAAGTATTCCTTTGATTAAGGACAAAAGATAAATATTTTAGATTAAAGTATAGCATGACAATAAGGCTCCTCTTCAGGGCCCTTGCTGTAGCATGCATAACTTTTACCTCAGATGTGAGTGTTCAAAGTAGGATGTGTGCCTGTACTCTGAGATGCAGTCTCTTTTGAGACTATGAAAAGCATATGTTGCAAGAAGGAAGCTCTTTCCTATCTTAATGACAGCCGACGGCAGATGTACTCACAGTGCTAAACATTAGGATGATTATCTGTTGTCCATTTCATGCAGTATTTTATTTTTATAGTATTTATATGGCCTCTTTTACTTTCTGACAGTTCAGCCTTTACATCAGACAGACATAGGAAAAGAAAACTATTGGAAAACTCATCTCTGAACAGCAAGCTATTAAAAGTAAATGTAAGTACAACAGGTCTGGTATGGCAAATTTAAGGGTTTTTTTTCTAAACCTGTTGAGGTGTATCGTTGTCCGAGACTTGAAATACTTGGAATCAGTTACCCAAATTCTGGGTGATGTACTTCATCTTTTCATCTCCTGACCGCACACCTAGAAGAGCCACTTCTCAGAAAAGCATATTTGATATTCTCCTGCATTTCTGTTGTTTAGACTTGAAGCTTCCCTGTGCTTAAGAAGGATTTAATGTCAAGATGGACCTTCAGGGCTGTTTGAGCTTGGTGGGATCAGCAAAACTGGAAGGAGCTAGTACCTACTGGGATTAAAACAGGGGTTGATGTAAGACGCTTCTGTGCAAAGAGGTTATTGTTTTTAATTGGTTGATTGCTTTGTTTTGGTTGGTGGTTTTTTCACAGTGCAGAAGGCAAGGAAGCAGGTGTGCCATCTTCTTCTAAGTGGATAAGAGTAATGTTTAGGAAAAAGTAAACAATTTTAACGAACTTTTAAGAGCTTGGTAAAATTTGCTTTCAAAAGGAACTGTGGTCTATTGTGAAAGCTTTCCTCATTCTCATCTCTCATCTTTCTGCTATTTTAACTTAATCTGCAAAATAACACCCAGGAGAGGATGATCCAGCCTTTGCTAACCAGCTGAAGGGCTGCACAGTTTCTTCCAGACAAAGAATACCCCAAACCAAATGTCTCTGTTTTCCACAGTCTAGGTTGTGGGAGTTTCTAATCTTTATAGTTTCTTCCAGATTTTAGCAAGGGAGAGGGGAGATACTCACCCAGTTGCAAGCAGCTGCTTCATTTTCACCCTCAGTCAGAAGGAGTGGTAGAGCAGAGCTATTTCTCCCTGGCCCTTGGGGCTGCAGGACAGCCATGTAGTAAAAGGGAGCTGCAGTAATAGCTGCCTTCAGTGCTGCGGAACAATTGCCTGATTATGAAGAGAAGTTGTTCTTGAGTACAAATGGCAATAAGAGGGTGGTGTGGGAGCAAAGCAGTCACTGCTTTGCAAAATCTGTAAAGGTTTGATTACTTTAAAAATGAGCCACCTACAGTCAGCTTAGGGTCCTCTAAATGTGCTGTGTAATGCTTCCTCTGATGTCCCAATCTTGGGGTGATTGAGGAAGTCCAAGATAAATAAATTTTTTGTTTCTTTTGTTTGGCTTTGGTTTTTTTTTGTTGTGGCAACACACAGCATCTTTGTCTGGAAAACTCAAAGCCAGTAAAAACCAGAAGGAAAATTCTAGGCAACACTTAGTTACGAAGAAGACAAAACTAGAAAGCTTGAACTTCAATACTACATTTTTGATTCTTAGTCTGTGCTGTTTTCTCAGTATTATTAATCTTTGAATATTGCCTGTGGCAACAGATGATCTTTTTATTGTTGGCACATTGGAGCCTTACCTAGAAAAGACAGGGCACTTCTGCTTGCATTAATACCATGCTGTCTGACCCTGGGCAGGAGTGAGAAAATAATATACTAAGGGCACTGTGGTGTTTGTACTTAAAAGTTTTCTTCCATTACTCAAAAGCATGTCTCTCTTTTTAAAAGTTCTTATTGATGTGGTAAACTGCTTATGTAAATAATACTTTTTTTTTTCCCCAACAACATATAACAATACCCTGCTGCCTTTAGTTCTTCACTAGAGATGATGTTTGTGGTACATTTGAAGAGGAAAAGTTGTTTTACTGCGACACGTTGAATGCATATTTGCATGCAGTCTTTGGTGTCAAGTAATAGGTTCATTTTGAGATACAACTAACTGAAAGATAGTCTAGCTTTTAAATTCTGTTAGAATAATGAAGAATGCCCAAAAATCTGATGGAGTTCCAATGTGATATTTTTTTAGACAATGGAATGCGTCTGAGTGTTGCAGATTCTAGGAATAAAAAATGCAACACTCTTCAGATTTCTTTTCCTTCTCCCAGCACACCCTGAAGATTACCTGGCAAAAAGCAAGCTCACCTATGGGTAACATTACTCTAACCTGTTAAAACTAATAGGCTGGAAATAGTGTATATTTTCCTTCTCTTAATTCAACACATTGCTTTTTCTTTGCACAGTCTAACTTGACCATTTCTTTTCCAAATCACCTGTCTTTCAAAAACCCTCCTGGCCACCACAAAAACCCATCAAGACAGCAGGCTAGTGTTGGGACTTAAAAACAACCTGCCGGCTGCCACACTATGTGTAGTAGACGGGACTAGATGGATAGGGATTGGTATTTTCATTTTTCAAAGGCACTTCAGGGAAATTTCTGTCTGGTTCTCATTGAACATTATTGGGGTGTGAATGTCTAACATACGTAGGCATAAATACTTTGCAATAAAAACCTGATTAACTCTGTGTTGTCCTGTTGTAGATTTATTTGCACATGAGAAGATGCAGTGTATAGTTTTCTGTTGACAGGAATGAGTAAGAAACAGGTTTCATTTCAAGATGGAGCTTCAAGGCAGCTTGAGCTGACAAAGTGGTTGCTTTGGCTTTGAAACTGCTGAAGTGACAGTAATAGCTCTGTGGGGAGAAAGTCAGGGAGCAATGTTAAGTCTGTCTTTAACTATTCTCTTTTCCAGGGGAGCACCACTGCCCTTTGTGCCACAGGCCTTCGGAACCTGGGGAATACGTGTTTCATGAATGCAATCCTTCAGTCGCTCAGGTACCTCCAAAGCTTTCCCCATGCCTCTGTGAGAGCGGTCGTGTGTGTGGCATTAGGTAAGGGAGCTGAATCTGGGGAGCAACTGCTGTCCAGAAGTGTACCTGAATTTGTAGGAACGGGTGTGTGCAGGTCCTACAAAGTTGTTTTGCAGTGTGAGGGACTTCCTGTGATGCAGCATTCCTTAGGAAGGCTACCGAATCCTCAGTGGAAAAGGAGACTGCCCTTTCATTGCTGAAGGCTGCTCAAACATGCTGATGCTTATGGTTGCTGTGAAAGCAAACGGCACTTTGAGGGTGGGGTCTCATGGCAGCAGGTAGGAGAACAGTTTCTGCAGTGCTGAGATGTTAGCCTGCATTTCATTGCTGCCAAGACCATCCCTGCTCTGCAAGCGTCCTCTTGCGTTTCTGACTTTGCCTACGGGGAGACTACTGAGCTGGGCTGTAGCAGGACTAATTGGTCTCCATTTCTTTGCTGTCATTCAGAGTTCACTGTCAGGAGTTGAGGCACATGCTTCCTCTGTTCCAGAAGGTGAAATTGGTAGGTGAGGGCAGACGTGGAGTTCACTTCCTCGGCAGATGCAGCTGGGTTTGTTAGGAATGCCTTCTGATACCCTGGTCTCATGGTATCTCTTACTCGACATAGAGGCAAAATGTAATCTTTTGAAGTAGTTGGGATGATGATGATATTTACAGATCTGCTGAGCCACTTACAGCAGATGAGGATTTGCTGGAGCGTTTCTTGTCTCTTGAACAAGAAATTGCTCGTTCTATCATGGCAGGAAGTTGTTTTTATGCAATTCAAAGAACAGGCTCCAGAATACATAATGTTCTTTTTATTCTCTGCCCTTTAAGGATGTCATTAATTTTTCCTTTCTTTGTAGTAACATTCAGCAGTTTTGCTGTTACTTCAAAGAGTTGCCTGCTGTGGAGCTGAGGAATGGGAAGACGGCAGGCAGGCGAACTTACCATACCAGGAGCCAAGGGGATAACAATGTGTAAGCTGCATGTTCCTTGTTAGCACTGAACTTTACAGAAAACAGCAAATGCTTGGGTAGGAGAGCCACTATGCACTTTCAGTATTGCACAGTCATAGAAAAATATTGGCTGAGTGTAACTGCATTTAAAGTAAGGTTAAAAAGTGCTAGTTATGTGCACTCCAGACATTCCATTACTTAATTCCAGCTAAAATATGGTCATGGAGGTGTGTCTGCAAGTGAACATTCTAAAAAAGGGAAAAAAAAAAATCAGAGTAAATGATTCAAAATCTGTAACTTGCTTGAGTAAGTTTTAAAGGGATGATGTTAGCAGAGCCTACAGTAAAATGGCAAAAGGTGGAGAGATTTCCAGGTAAGTCCTCAGCATCTGAAATGCAATTTTTCCTAACATTTCTCTCCCAGCGTTATGGATAGGATTTGGGACATAAAATGTTGAAGTTCTGGAAAGGATATTTACCCAGTTGTTACAATCTTGACCAAAGTAATGTCTGATATTTGTACCACTGAGCTAGTAAACCTAGCAGGGTTGTAACATGCACCCACATTAATCACCAGCTTTTACTTTCTTTCCAGCTCACTGGTGGAAGAATTCAGAAAGACACTCTGTGCTTTGTGGCAAGGAAGCCAAACTGCATTTAGCCCAGAGTCTTTATTTTATGTTGTTTGGAAAATCATGCCAAATTTTAGGTAAGTTTTGTAAAATAAGGACAATGTTCTTGATTGCAACCTTGTATTGCTGGTGTCCCATTCTAAAATTGGATGAATCCGTGGGATGTACTCTACGCAGCTTTTCCATATGCCCACAAATACACTTTGAAAAGGTTCTTCACCTTGACTGAGTTTTCAGTTCATCGGTAGTGTGGTTTTTTTCCCCTGCCCTTCTACCACATGCTACATGTAGCGGTGTCCAAGAGGACAAACATCTCAAATACTAAAACAGTAGTAGTTGTACATTTGAGACAGTGCCCCAAAGGGGGCAGAAGAATCTGTGCCAAGTGCATGATGTTGACAGAACCCAAGCTTGGCTGCAAAAAGAAAGCGCTGTAGTCAGGTTTGAAAAGGTACAGCTACAGGTGTCAATGCAACCATACTGGCTGAAACTTCCTTGATTCTCTCAGAGTACTGTAGTCACCAGCTTGACTTGAAATAAGGGCTGTAAGAATAAAATCTTGTGCATACTAAGTGTTTTATGCCCATACTGACAAAAAAAGACAATAAAAAGAAAGGGAAAAAGCAGGTTACTCAAGTAAATCAAAGTATCATTCCTCTCCAAGGTCTCCCTGTCCTGGCCCCTGAACCTCTTTCAAAGGAGCACTGAAACCTGTTAGGATATATTGTGATGAAGGTAAGTTGCTCTGTGTTCGCAGGTAGTAAAGATGTTCTGTTATCTGTTACATCTCCAGCAGTGCTGAAAAGATGCTGTGAACACATCTGCCCAATCAGTAACCTGAACAACACAAACCTATTTATTCTGTTCTTCACACTGCCAAATGTTTCACTTGGCTTATGAGAATCAAGGAAGTTTAATACCAGTAGTTGCAAGCAGCAACAAAAACATTATAGGCAACTGAACATCATCCATAATGTCCTTGACTAGTTTCCCTATAGTGTTTGCTGTAATTCCTGTTAAGACTTGGTGAGAAACCAGTTCATTGAAATTCCTCAAGCAAATTTTCAGCACTGTGGGTTCTATCACAGCTTTTAACAGAAAAAGTGCTGTTTGTTGAGGTTGTGCCCCTTCCCTTTTTATTCCCAGTTATCTGGGACATATCCATGATTGATTAATCCCCATAATTAATGAGACAACTCATTAAATCACATGGAGAATAGAGTCAGCAGCTCAATAGATATCCGCTCCCACATCATCCAGGGAGAAATGGGAAAATTTATTCAGCTCCTTGTAAACATTAACGATGCTACAGTTCTAGTTCTACCTTGTGCACTTCTAGTGAGGTTGGGAGGAGAAGGTGGATGGACATACATGTGAAAGAAAGCCAGAGCCAGTAGCATGTTGAGGGCAATCCAGCCCCTTTGGCTTGTGCTTATGAAGCCTGAGGTGATGGGGCGGGGGGAGGCAATCCGGTTGGAAACGTGGTTTGTTTCTGCTCAAAGAGATGTCAGTTGTTAAAGGCACATTGTTCCTGCCTGCAAGGACTGCAAGTGCTGTTTTTACAGAAGGTTATAGCAAAAACTGCTGCTGTTGCACCCCAAGGCTGTCATGGATAGCAGACGGTGAGTGGAAGAGTATCACCTGTAGTTAGTATAAGCAGAGCTGGAGTGCCATTGGGCTCTAATGCTGCTCTGGAGGGCCTGCTCTGCCACTGCTGGACAGAGTCTGCTGCTGTCAGAGATGGTTCTGTAGCCTCATGTCGAGTTGCAAGATGTGCATTTTGCTGATTAACTGCTGTATGAATAGCATACTCTGTTTTCCTAATGATTCCAAAGGTTAATGCATCAAATTTGTTGCAGAGCAAGCGTGCCATATACTTATGAGGAATTTAATGTTGAAAAGGTGTCTGAAGCACAGACTTCCCATAAATTTCAGCTTCAGCCATTTATATGTTTATTAAATTGAAGATATTTGTATTCAGTTGACTAAGCAAATACTGTGTTGTCTCAGTAACTTAAAACTTATCCTATAGTGTGCACAGTTAACATCCAACTTTGAAGCTGAGGTTTGCTATACTACTTTATGTCATAATAATGTAAAACTATTCTGCAGTTTTGGAAGAATAAGTCCTAGTTTTGGCTGTACAGGACTCTGGCCTGTTGAAGCACAGCAATGTTTCTGTGTGCCAGTTTTTCTGTTGTATAAGGTAGGTGGTGCTACCGATGTTTTTCAGGGTGCTGTAAGATCTATGTATAAACTCTGAACAAACTCTGTGAACAAAATGGTGTTCTCTTTTGAAGCTGCTAGTTTGGAAGAAAACATTACTGTAATTCTACAGGATAAAAAGACTTTATTTCATTATTTTGTTACCTCCTAGCAATATTTTTGTAGGTCGTACCTATGTTTTTCACTAAGTACAGGAGTGCCACATCTTTTCTCTCCAAATCTACGTACTGTGTCAAGAGCCTTATGGATATTAGCAGCACAAACCCCCCATCTCTGTTGTTCTTTCCTAAACATTCCTATGTGACAGTTATTGCCAATCCCTAGGTGGAGTAGTGAGGAGAAAAAGCGTCAAGGGAGGCGTGATACAGCAGCTTAAAAGAATGGGCAAGAGGGAGAGGGAAAGCGAACACAATGCTGTAGGGATTTTTGTAACCAGGCCTACAAAGACTTGCACATAATTATGTCAGTGTTGCACAAAGCTTTCTCTGTTTTGCTGTGTATGCTTGCTTGCTTCGTTTCAGTACTCATCTTACGGTAAATGAATTGTTCTTGTTTGTTACATTTGATGCATGATTTAGCTTAAATAACTTTAAAGGCATATTTTACCCTGATGGCTTTTCTGTTCCCTTCAGCTAGGTTTGTTAGTGGTAAAATGATAATGGTGACTTGTTGAGAAGCATTGCTGCTGACAGTAAAACACATCTGAGACTGGAGCCCTGTCCTACCAAACCCCAATGCTCAAGAGACGCTCTGCAATCTCCACCACTACCCCCCTCTCCCAACAAACGCCATGTGGGTCATGCAGGGGAAGTGTGCAATTCTGAGTGGGGCTGTAGATCTTGCCCTAAAAGAGGAATAAAATCTCTCTTGCATCCTAATTATTTCAGACTTTATATTGTTGCTGAAAGATGCATGTGATAAACAAACCCAAAGATTAAATTCCTGGCTTTGGTGGGGAGGGGAACAAACAGGAGACATGTACCCGAACTGTGAAAGTGAGCAGGAGCTGTGGCTGAATGACAATCACTCAGCAAAACTGACTCTTAATCCCAGATGAACAATAGCTTTTGTGGTGCCTTTCTTTGGAATCATAGCAGGTTGGAGATTTCAATCTATTGACCATAACGTACAGGAGTTTCCAAGTAGGCATCACTCATGTTTTGTCTGAACGTGCTTCAGAACAGTTGTGCAGCAGTACTAATCCAATGTAGTTGGCAACAAAGAAAACAGAGAAATGTGTTGTGTGAGTGAGGGGAAGCATCTGCTGCCATTGTGTGCTTTTAATTAACACATACAGGAGACCAAGGATGTCACTAGCCCAGACTGGGTTTGGAGAGGCCAATTAACATGCGGCTATGCTGTGTGAACTGAACAGGTGAGCAACATCCCTGCTGCTCCCCGTTGTCTTCTAAAAGGGCTCTTCCTGTCTAGAACGTGTATCCTTTAACGTTTCTCCATCCTCAAAAACAGACTTGCAGAGAGAGTGTGAGCTATGAAGGCCCAAAATCACTTAGATTGTCCAAACATTGCTGTACCTTTCCAAAGGCAACTTGGAAAACTTTTTTTTTTTTTGGCACAAAATATGTACATCTCTGTAAAGCCTGCTCAGGTTATTTCCTGCGACACTAGTGCTCTCTGTGTGTCAGCACTACAGCAACCTGTATATTTGGTGACTTTGTTGTTGTTTCTTTTTTCTCTTAAGGGGATACCAGCAACAGGATGCCCATGAGTTCATGCGTTATCTTTTGGACCATCTACACCTGGAACTCCAGGGTGGCTTCAATGGTGTTTCACGTTCAGTAATTTTGCAAGAAAATTCTAGCCTGTCTGCAAGTAACAAATGTTGCATGTAAGACGTGTTTTTGTTTTTTTTTTAATTTCTTCAAAATCTTAATACCTTTGTATGAGTCCATGTGGTGGATCTGAAATTTCAAATTCATGACTCCTTGTGTAAGTTTTCTTCAGTGCATCTGTAATGTTACACATTACTAAGCTGCAGGTTATACAAAATTAACATCCTGTAGGATGTGCTTCCTTTTGAAGGAAGTGCTTAAGATCAGTTTTTCATAGGTGTAAGCATACAAGCTAAGGTGTAAACACATTTTGATTCATTAGTCTTTCAGAAATAAAAAGCAAGAACTTTGTCTTTTTTTAGACCTATATAGAATTCTTTCTTCTGTTCAGACTATCTATCTCATTGCTTTAGTATGATTAGATGGTCTGCATGGTACAGGAGCAAAACGATGGGCAAATACTTGTAGGTTTAAATTGTCAGCAGACCTCCTGGATTGAAGACTGAGCAATGCAGTTACAGTTTGAAGTCAATTTTCCTGCAGATGATCTGGCTATATTTGCATATCATTTGATACAGTTAAAGCTGAATATTTTTTTTCCCCCTAGTAATTTTTATTGTGTTGCTGTGTGTCTTGTAATCTCCATGTTTCACTTGTTCTGTACACAAAATACTATTACTGGATTCTGTCTCAGGAGTGTTTTGTCTCAGATTGAAAATGTCACAAGCAGAAAACACATCTTAATTTGCTTCAGGAAGGCATGTTAAAGTCAGTTCAGCCTGCACATTTGGTCCCTATGTAAAAGCTGAGCGAGTTTTCCTTCCCTATACTGATTAGGATGTAGAAAGCCATTCTGAGAGGTGCATGATTTTATAGATGCTTCATTAGGGAAAGCCTAGAGTTCAGACTGTGACCTTTACCACATTTATGTTGCTTTGCTGATGCTTTAAAAAGCCCACAAAAGACTCTTAAAATGTTCTTAGAATTTAAGTGCATTTGAAAACTAAACTGATTTTGTTTTATCAACATTTTCTATGTCAAAGCTGAAAAAGAGTTAGTTTAAACTTTGTTCACATATCTACTGTAAATTTGTCTTGAGAATGGCTGTTCAAATGCATGGCAATGTGGAGTGAGCTGCCTTTTGTCAAGGGCAAATTAAGGTCACATACACTTAAATGCCTACAGGAAAGTAATAACTATGCTGTGAATGCTCTCTTCTTCAGTGCAGTTTATTTGGGTAGCCATTTCCTTCTGCTCAAGAAGCAGCATTCAAATTAACTGTAAATATGTGGGTGGAGTACAGATAATGAACAGGTTTGCAGGCGAGTAGGGTCAGATCTGCAAGCACAACCTAGCAAGTTTAGACCTATAATAATGGAATGTGGTGTTTTGTTGCGATGTTTTGGGTTTTTTTAATTGAACTATGAGAAATAAGTCCATTACAAAATTTGCTGTAAAGATTGAGAGGAATGACAGCACAGAGACCAGTGACGATGATACATATTGTTTATCATATCTTAATGCAACTTACTTAAGCTGTCTTTGGAAATGAAGTGCAGAAATAGGCTTTAAGACGACAAAAGTACTTGTAACAAAGGGTGTAGAGAATTAAAACCAAAACACTTGTCCTACCTAACACGGAAGAATGTTTCAAAAACAGCCTTAATTACAGGGTTAAAATATTGTAGCCCTGTGAGCATCAGCTCTCCACTACAGAAATGCAATCACTCAGAATACTTTCAGTACTGAAATTTTGAGCACACGTAGTTCCCACCTTCTTTAGGTATAAGATAAAGCAGTAATAGTAGCTAAATACTTGCACTGTATGATTCTGGGGTGAATTAAATGCCCAGTGGATGAACTTGGTTAGTTTGTTGCACATGGACAAAACTGCTCTGCCTTGTAGTGGCGAGCTGTAAGCAGTAAACCTGTAACAGGTATTGAAAATTAAGCTCTGACGTTCTGGCTGACTTTAACTCCCTAATTGGTTTGTCTAGAAATGGAGCATCCACTGTTGTCACAGCGATTTTTGGAGGCATTCTTCAAAATGAAGTCAACTGCCTCATATGTGGGACTGAATCTAGAAAGTTTGACCCATTCCTAGGTAAGATGACTCTTGATTTCAAAATGCTGGGTGACTTAAGGCAGAAGAGTAAATCTGAAGCTTGATATATTTAGATGTCACATGACTGAGAGTTTTCGCCTGAAAAGATTAGGCATGTTTTTATTCAGCCCCGATTTTTGGTTTTGTCTTTGCTTTTCCAGACCTTTCGTTAGATATTCCAAGTCAGTTCAGAAATAAACGTACTAAAAATCAAGAAGGTGGACCAATGTGCACACTAAAAGGTAAGTGCCCTTGGATAATGAAATTGTTACTAGGACTAAGACTCTTCAGAGTATTTGTTTCAGAGGAGCCAGGCTCTCACCTAGGGAATGACTTTGTGCCATGTGTCATCTAGTTTCATGAGGTACTGGGCTAAAAGGTGCCAAAATAATTTTCCATGCAGGTTTTACCCCAGTGACTGTGTATTGACATACTACTATCATAAAATGGGGCTGAGAAGTGCTTCAGGTCTTTAGCAAAAGTACCAAGGAGGATTCCATCTGCTTCTTCTTTGTGGTCAGAGTTCCAGCCAACACTCATCTGCATTGCTGCCTGTTGGTATTTGCCAAGGCTGCACTTAGAATTACGGATGGCTCTTGGGTGTTCTGCTTTTTACACCAGGAAAATGCACCCCTGCCCCACTGGGCAGTAGTGCTGTTACTGACCTTGGTTTAAAGGATGTCAATTTTTACAGATTTGTATACGTGGTATAGATTTTGAAATATTACTAGACCCACCATTATTTTGTGTTCACTTTTGTACATACACCCAAGTCACCTTTAAAAGCTGAGTGTTCTTTGTTAAAAAACTGTTTGGTTTCTTTTGAAAAACAGTTGTGCTGAATGTTGGATGGAACTGTGAAAGATGGAGATTTTGTGAACACTTTTTTTTTTTTTTTTTTTTTCCCTCTTAAACTGTTTATAGCTGTTTTCAGGAACAGGGAATTCTGTGTGTTGTAACAAGTTTTTGTATTCAAACATTATTACATAGCTTTTTGCTGCAGCAATGTATGTAATAACTGGAATGATTGCAGTAGACTTACAAACCTTTCCTGTATTGCTGTATTTGTTTTATTTCATATTACAAAAAATCCCTTGGTGTTATCTTGAATCAGTTCTTCTTGTGTCTTATTCTTTTTTTAGATTGTCTTCGCAGTTTTACAGACCTGGAAGAACTTGATGAGACAGAGCTGTACATGTGTCACAAATGCAAAAAGAAACAGAAGTCCACCAAAAAATTCTGGATTCAGAAACTACCAAAGGTTTGTATAAACATGAAAAGTAACCATGTGTCAAAGGAAGTAACAGCTCAATCCTTAGTAGACCAACACCTAACCCTCCTACAGGCTGTTGCAGATAGATATCTAGCACTAAGTTCAACCTCTTCCTCTACTCTGTCTACATTGATTTATTTTTTTTAATTTGTTTTGTTTTGGTTTTAAACCCATAGGTGCTATGCTTACACTTGAAACGATTTCACTGGACAGCATATCTAAGGAACAAGGTTGATACATATGTTGAGTTTCCCTTACGTGGCCTAGACATGAAATGCTACTTGTTAGAGGTATGAAGGCTCACTGATACATTCTGTAGAAAGTTGCTCCGTGCTATACGTCTTTAATACAAATTGTAGTAGGTGCTACTGGGATTTGAAGAGTTTTCTGTCTTTTGAACCACAGCCTGAAAACAGTGGCCCAGAAAGCTGCCTGTATGACCTTGCGGCTGTTGTTGTGCATCACGGTTCAGGGTGAGTACATGGAGTAACCCTGCGTCTTGGCAGAGACCTTCTCCCCACTGACGTACATGCAGAGTTCTTGGAAGTTTTTCTGGCCCTAGCAAGTGTCTGTACTTCTACCTGTGGAAGTAAGCAGGAGTTCATAAACTTGCATGGAGCTAAGCTGAAGCAGCTTCAGGTGGATCTGTACGGTTGTTCAAGCGAATGCCCACAGGCAGACTGAGTGTAGTGGCTAGAAGTATGAAATGGAATGGAAATAGTCTGTCCTGTTCCTCTAGGAATGGAAAGCCCTAAACCAACAGAGCAAATCAAGGGCCTTCCAGAAATTAATGCCTTGTTTTAAAATTCTTAATGCAAAGCAGAAATATTTTTTCCTCTTTTATTCACTTTGAAAGGCATGTGTGCATTTTTGGCTCAAGTACGTGCGCACATTTAGGAACAGCTGTAGACTTAAGTTTGGCACAGTGAAAGGCATTGCCCTGGATTTGCATTCTCTCCTACAGGAGTGAATGCCAGTAGGCATTCCACAAGGCTGCCTGGGGTTCACATTTTGAAGTAAAGTTGGCTGGGTGTGTTCTGGTTGGTTTGGTTATGGTTTTGGTTTTTTGTTCCCCACCTCCTGCCTTCCCCCTTCACCCAACCCTTGACAATCTGTTGAGTGTAACAGCAGTAGGGACGAGACAACTGTTTATCCTCAGAGAAACATGTTCTTGTTTGAACATAAAATCACTCTATGGGTATGATCTGTGAGTTTCTCTTAAACTAAACCCCAATAATCAAAACCTTGCTGATACCCAGAATTTAATTCAAAGATACTAAACCTAAAGTTCTGTCCAGAAAGCCCCTCCTCTTTCTCAAGAGGAATGGTTTGGCTTCTCAGAAAGATCTGACTACTGAAGGCAGCAGTCCTTGTAGCACCATGATGCATCTGATTGGCACTTCAAAGTCACTGGAGAAGTGTATGGACAGCAAAGGAAAGCTGGTCATGATTGGAAGGGAATTAGCTGATGGGAAGCATTGAGCACGTTACAACATGCAAGCAAGTGAAAGAGGGCTTGTATCTTGGGGAGGCAGGTAGTGAAAGCTGATGGGGTTTGTAGTTCTGCTATGCTGGATTCAAGAAATACGGCTCCAAGACATGGATCTGGTTTTCAAGATGAAGTTACTTCTTGGTAATCTGGAATTAATTTAGCTGTGAATACCTTTGATTATATTTAGAATGTGTTTCTCTTTAGACTTAAATGGGGAACTTCTGAAAATAGAGCACAGTGAAATTTTTACAGCTAATGCTTCAATAATAACAGATAGTAGACTCTATTTTTATGGCAATTCAGTGTTGCAAGAAGCCTTGCTCGAACAAAAACGATGCAGTGCTAGGAAGTTCATACCAAAAACCCTTCTCAACTCCTCCCACTAAGTGATTACTGTACTTAAGGTAAAACTTGGAGAACTCAGAGCCCCACAAATTAACAAGGGAAGCATCTTACCAACTGCTGTGGTGGGCTGTCAGTTCCTTTCTTCCTCTGTTCCTGGAAGACTCTTAGCCCAAATAGACAATGCACCAGAGAGTGAGGTGGACTGTTTCCTCTGACTGTCGTTTCTTTTCCTGCCCGCCCTGCTGACAGCGTGGGATCTGGACATTACACGGCGTACGCAGCTCACGAAGGCCGCTGGTTCCACTTTAACGACAGTACTGTAACTCTGACCGACGAGGAGACTGTGGTAAAGGCCAAGGCCTACATCCTCTTCTACGTGGAACGGCAAGCCAAATCTGGATCAGATAAACTTTAATACCTCCTTTTAATTCTTACTTATCAAGTCCACCGGACAAAACATTTCCATTTTTCCATAAATACTTGATGCAAGACTATTAATTTCATTGTGCACTTTTCAAATTTCCTCTTGTGGGTTTTAGCTTTGTTGTGTCGATGGTAGCATTTGACTTACTGAACTTGGACACAAACTAACTTTTTAGTTATACCAGAAAACCTCAGCAGATTTGGATTTGCTGCTTTAGTTGTGATAACTCAATTTTTATATATATAGTTTCATGAAATATTTAGTAATTTGACCTTTTTATATTAATGTTTTCAGTTCTCACTTTCTAAAGGCACATTTACATCAGAGAAGATTTCTGTCCTCCTTACAAGCAAGATAGATGTGCTTCTGATTATGAAGAGCAATACACCTTCATGCTGTTCTCACAGCTGTTACACAGATATGATTTAATCTCTTTAAATTGAGGAATTGCTTCTTGCATGTACCATTCTCCCTCGTGCAAGAAACTAAACAGTGACTTCTGAACAATCATTCTTTGTCTGCAGAAGAGAGGGAATGTGACATCATTAAATAGACCAGGTAATTGCTGCTATATTGGTGTGTATTCAGGCTGCTGACTTTCAGGAATTGTTGTAAATAAACAATTGCTTCAATTGTATCAGTACTGCAGTTGAATTCAAGTATTCCTCACATATGCTCTGACCCTCCCCCCTTCAAATCTATATACATATATATAAAAAAAACCCCAAATCTTAAAAATATATACATGTCTAAGTTCTGTTGAGATTTATGGATTTTAGCTGAACCTGAATTGCCTTAGACATCGCTTGGTTTAGACTTGTCATCTTGAGGTTTGATCATGAAGACTTACACTTACTTCCTTGAAAACTTGGGAGACTTGCTGGCAGTGAGAACCCAGCCCTCCTTCCTGGGGGGAACTGTGAGTACAGGCCCAAAGTTAGGGTACTGTGAGAACAGCCTTAGGTCTAAATGTAGCTCCTGTCCTCTAAGTGCCTGCATCCCCTTTCAGACTGAAAGGAAGCGGATGGTGTTCCAGATGCTTCGCATGATAGTTGCTCCACGAGGGCAAATGCCAGCGGAAGGGGCAATGTTCCCTTCACAGTGTGGCCTGCCTGGTGGGAGACGACGAGCCATGACGCCTGTCGACCTGAGCAGAGCTGGGCAGCTGTAGGAACGATGCTCTGGCCCAGTGGGGGATCTCTACTTAGAGTCGCTAGGCGAATGCTGGAGGGGTGATGAAATTTCTAAATTGTGGCTGTGTAATGGAGAAAGACTTGTTAAAAAAAAAAAAAAAAAAAAAAAAAAAAAAAGGGATTTTAGCTTTACTGCTGTCCTGGAGAGTGGAAGTCCGCTAATAAGGTTTTAAAAAGGCAGATGGAAAAACCCAATATTGCAAAAGCCAGGAGTCCCCAGAAAAACCTGGAGTTAGACAAGTGCCCCATTTCAATTCTCCTCCTCCAGCCCAGCCCTTCTAGCTAGCCACAATGTCCTAGTGAAGGACTGGCCAGTCCTAAAATGTCAAAAGCAGGGTCGTAAGTGTACAGTTTTACTTAATGTAGAGTCACGCAATCAGCAGCGCCTTTTAGTTGTGATAACAGTAAAATATAGTACCTGAAAACACAAAAGAACTCCAGTGAACAATGAGCACCCTTTTCAGTTAATGCTTCTGAAAAACACTGTAGTACACAGTAAAAATTTCCCTAC